TGCAGATTTAAAGGCTCTCTCTTCCAGGTCATCAAAAACTTTATTTTATTCTGTTACAACACATATCTCACTGTATTACAGTTATTTATTTTTAACAATGCCTCACAGGCTAGACAAAAAGCTTCAGAAAGGCACATACTATACCTGCTCATTTTTAGATGCCTTACCACAGTGCCCAGCATACAGTAGTACTCAAATGCCTATCACACTGTAATGATTAAAACAAAGTTAACTCTGTTTCAACTATTCCTAACAAGACTTTGAGATAGAAGATAGGTATGAGGAGAATGGTTCATTCTATAAAATATGAAAATGAAAATATTTCTTGGTTTAACCCTAGAATGAAAGCAGTTGGCTTCCTCCCCAACATAATCTCTCTTTTAAAAGTGCCACTTAGAGAGCTTCTACTAATTCTCAAATGTATAAACTTTTCTGATTTATGCCCTAACTCCAATCCGTCTTTAGCAAGAGAAATAAGAGGATGAGAAAAAAATAAGATGAGATGGAAATATTTCATGAATAACAATCAACTATGAACTTTTTAAAAGGTAAATTCAATCACAAAAGTCCAGACTGCCTCGATTTGAATCCCATCCCCATCACTTTCTGACTTTGCGTAAATCACTTAGCTATCAATGCCTTAGTTTCTCCATCTGTACAGTGGGAATGACAGTAACACATACTTCACATCTAGGATTACTGTGAGGATTAAGAGTTTATATATGTAAAGCACTTAGAATGAAGCATGGTATATAGTAAGCAGTTACTGTTAGCTATTATTATCATTATCTTAAATGGTGGTTATTTAATTAATAATCAAGGGTTATAATCTGTTTCTAGATTATAAGAAAGGGCCCCCAAGACAGAATAGGAGCTCCAAGAAGACTTTTGAATATTCTAGGCTACGTGGGTACTAATACAGAGTAGCTGAGCAAATAGGCAAGTCCTAAAGGACTAGAGTTGGAACTATGTTCTAATTAAGACCTTTTTATACAGTTGATGTACTTTGGAAAATTATTTATCATTTTATTTCTCCATTTTCACATTTATAAGTACATTGATCCATCCTGCAATGATGGTATGGATTAACTAATAAATGATTATCAAGAACTTTGAAAATACAAAAACTAAAGTGAAAAATTAGCTTATAAGTACCTGATATAATTCATTAACAATACAGAATATTATACTAATTCCTGTAATGCCTTCCAACTGTAGTTCTTCTACATTCTTAATTTTCTAAAAGGGTATTACAAAATCAACTATGTATTAAAAAATAAATTTCACAATCTGTGTTGGTTTGAGTTAGAAAACTATCAGATTTAAGATGTGGATGCCACAAAATTAAAAAAACATGATATACTGTATAATAATTCTAAAATTATCATAATCATTGCTAAAATAAGTGGTCTTGCTGAAATTTTAAAATACTAACATGTATTTGAAAATCTGATCTTAAAATGTTCTAGAATGATATTAATAAAAATTCCAGCTTAAAAGCCTCAAAGATAATTCTCAACAATAGTTTGATATAGCCTTTAATTCTTGATAAATCAATAGATTATGATTTAGCTATAGTTTGAAAGTACAGCCAAATCTTGATTATCTTTAGTCTATGGAGATATGGACAGCTTAGATGGTTAAAAATCCATCTCTTTCTAGAACCTCATCTCTGGAAAGTCTCTTCTTCCACAGAATATTTACCACAGTTAATTTAAAGGGCTAATTTGCATTTCAACTCTTTTTCTTTCTTAACTGAACAATTGAATGGCTAGATAAATAAATAATTTAACAAAAAATAAAACATAAGAAGAAAGGGCAATATGATAACCAGTCTGAATAATCAAGAGTTGGCTGCACATATTAGCTTTACCTTAAGAATTAAAATAGCCTCATCCTCCTTCATATCTGTAAATAAAATCAAACAGGAGTTCCTATGCCTTAACATTCCTAGTCAGTTTCTCTGAGTACCTGAAAGAACCCTGGTGGTACAGGACCTACTGGCATGCCATCTCCTGGGGGAATGTTTCCTAGCACTGGACTGGGAGCTGCTGCAGCACTCTGCAAAGAATAAAGGAGAAACAAACCTATATCATTACAGAGAAGGCACACAACCAAAGACTAATGATAATAGATTGTAGGAAGGGATGCTTTTTCATTCCTGGGAACAAATGCTGGTCATTTTCCCCACTCTGGAGGTAAACTAAGATACAACAGTTAGTTTAGTATATGACTGGTTAAAGTTGTTGGTTGAAGCAGTTCTCTTTAAACTTGGCAAAGTCAATCAGCTTTAACAGTATGGTATATTGGAATAATATATTAAATGCAAATAGTAATCTGACCAAATGATAAAGATTTTAGTAAATAATTCATTTTAAGGCACAGGCATCTAAAGTGGCAACATCAACAACAAGTAGGTAAATATTTAGGTAAAAAGTTTGAAGATGCTAGTTGCAGGAGTTGGAAAAAAGACTCTTTTTCTTAGATTATGCTTTTCTGTCATAAACAAGTATAATCAATTTTCTGCCTATAGGTGGCAACACTCACATTATTCACTTTCTCA